AACAAGAAATATTTTCTAAGTATTTAGGCATTAAACATTTAGCACGTGTACATCTTCTATGGATGTACTTTCTGTGTCATTTAAAACTATTTTAATAATCATAGACTTGTAACACTTGTATTCTCAAGATCATTTGTCAGTAGCTTTTTCTAAAAAAGGTTTAATGTCCTGCATAATTTTTAAAAAATGATAGTTTACCAATAACAAAAACACAGTTCTTTCTCTGTGGGGCTCAAATTCATTTCATGATGGAAAACAACTTAGAGCCCCATTCAGTCTCCATCCTTGAACGTGCAATGGCCTTGAATTAATGGTAGATCATAACAGAATCCACGTATGAGGTTTTATATGTTTTATCCTTAAAGATATCCTTAAAAGAAGGAAAACGTCGTTTTCTATCTCCTAAACTGATCCCTAAGTATGTAGACTAATCTTTTAATTCTTGAACATCTTCAATAATCGCTGTGGAATGTAAGAGGTTGCAGTCATTTCTGAGAGGTGTTTATTAATAATAAAGACTGCAAAACCATGAGTAAACCCCCAATATTCTAATGGTCTAACTTCTAACATACTCCAGGGTCAGCAATCTATTGCCCAAGGGCCGTCTGGCCTGCTGACTATTTTTATAAATAAAGTTTTATTGGAACACAATCACACCCATTTGTTAAATTATCTAAAGCTGCTTTTGTGCTACAACAGTAGTGTTGAGTGGTTGTAACTATCTAGCCCAAACTATAAACCCTTTGAAAATTCTGAAATCATTATATAAAGGCTGTTTCCCTTACTTTCAGAGCTGTGTTAACTCTTATAAAACAGCAACAATAAAGTTTAATGAACTTGCTAAAGGACTTCATTGGGCTAGAGAGATTCGGTGAGGCGTTTGCAAGGAAAGGGAGAAATTTTAACATCTGTACCACAGAAGCTGAAGTCACATTGGTTAATTTGGAAAAAGGACATAGAACTGGTAGCAAGTCTTGGACATTTAATGTCTGCATCTACAAATGCCAGAGAGAGCTGGCCTAAATGATCTTTAAGCTTTGCAATCTTCATGATTCTCTGAAATGACTTCAGTAAATCCATAAGCAAACTCAGAACCACATGAGCACACAACTTAATAATAAATGTTTCATGGCACCTGCCTAAGGTGAAGGCAGGAAATACATTTTAGAAAAGTGGAAACCAAAATTATTAAACAAGGGTATGTGGAGCTTTCTGGTACTATTCTTGAAACTCTTCTGTAACTTTGAAATTATTATCAAATTAAAAGGTATAAAAATAGTTTAAACAATTTTAAATGTTAGCACTTAAAAGGGAAAACTTCAGTTACCGTATTCAACAAAGTTAACACAATGACTGCCATAATGGATCTGGAAAACACATACACCATGCTTATTATGTTCCCTGAACCAAGCATGCCTGCAGATTACTGTCATTCCCTCTGTTCTGCATCCTAATTACCCACCTTACAAATTTTACCCTTTGAATTTATCTTACTTTATGAAAAATGAGCTAACTAGTAATTAAAGGGATCCAAAGACAGGTAAGACACAAAAGAAGCTGGAGTGGAGAGAGTAGTAGGAGGCAGAAGGAGGGACTAGAAGAGATCAGTTAATCAATTAACTAGATAAACATGTTCTGAAATGTGCCCACATAGCAGCTCTATTTTATCTCTTCTTCGGTAGATGAGGAAGGAAACTAACCCCAAATACTTGACTCTCATACAATATATGTACATCCCATATATTTTTTATGTACCCATATTCCAAAAAGAGATATGAGTTTATTTTTTCTAAAATACAAACACTAAGCAAACATTATGCTAATTGAAAAAGTGCCTAGAGAGCCACACACATCCACATCGTTAAATATAGAAACTAACTGTAATGAGAATCATTATCTCCAGTTTCCAAGGATACCAGGGTAAGCACTACTCCTAAATTGCAGTTAATTCAGCAAAGGGCACAAAGTAATTTATATTCAGGGTCATCTCTGCTGACAGCAGATACAGAAGGAAGGCCAGGGTAAACCGCCCTGGTTTTCTATTGTTTGTTACTCAATCTAATTCCCAACCCCCAAGCTCCATCCCCTGGTCCCAACCCTGGCCAATGTTTTATGGGTAAAATTTGGAAAATCTGATGGTATTTCTATTATTTCTCCAAGAGAAACAGAATCCACAAAGGGCAGGGTGTCAGAGATGAGAATAATGCTGGGGGGTTGGGAAGGTTGGCATTCCTCTTTGCTTTCTTTGTGAAAAGGAGAGAAACCTGGTTTTGTGTGCCTGCCACACTAGTGGCCCCCTTTCCCAGTGCCTGTAAGGGAACTGTACAGTTAATTTCAACTTCCCACCCAACCAAGGCTATCCAAGCTTTTAGACCTTACCCCTCCTAAACTGTCACAGCGTCTAGAATCAAATTCATTTTCAATTTTCTCTGTCTTCTTGACTCTAGGATCTAGACGTTTCATACGATTACTTACAATTTGTTTCTATAGCTTTAATATAAAAACTACTTTCTGACAACTTCAGAGAGATTGCCTCTGAATTATTTTGTTCTTGTTGTTTATTCAAGGCTATTTATTGCTTTCAACATGATAGGCATTGTACCAGGTGAGGGAGGCAGTGATGATAAATGATATGAGACTTCACTTTTGATCTCCAGGGAAAGTATCAAAAACAGGCCATGTCGGGCTTCCCCGGTGGCGCAGGGGTTGAGAGTCCGCCTGCCGATGCAGGGGACGCGGGTTCGTGCCCCGGTCCGGGAGGATCCCACGTGCCGCGGAGCGGCTGGGCCCGTGAGCCATGGCCGCTGAGCCTGCGCGTCCGGAGCCTGTGCTCCGCAACGGGAGAGGCCACAACAGTGAGAGGCCCA